TGGGGTTTAACCTTGGTGCTTAAAGGGCTTCAACACTACAATTAAACTCCTTAACTAAAGAGTAAAAAAACAATAAATACAAAAAAAACTAAATGAAAACATTACAAACAGGGAAAAGCTATTTATACTTTTTACATTGTATTTTACACGTTTTTTTATTAGAATATTTTTTTTCATCGTAGGTGTATTATTATAAGCGCGTTTATTTTTAATCTTTACAAATGTAGAATATATAGTTTTGTTTTTTAGATTTGTTATATACATTTTTAATACCCTAACTTCCTTCAGTAGGTACGGATCGGAACCCTTTCATGGGTAAGAGCTATCCTCCATCGTTTTCCAAATATCTCTTTTCTGGTTTTCCCATTCACTTCCTGCTAACGCTAATCTTCTTTCCACCTTTTTTTAGGTCACCCTCTTCTTCCCCTTAGTCTTTTCCATATGTCTTTACAGTCCACCAGACTTAAAAACAATATAGAAGTTAAATTCGACAGTGCTTTAATGTCATGAATATAATATAAGCGAATTAAGCCCAATTCGTGTCAAGCATACAATTCGCGCGTAAACGTCACATTTTGATGCAAATCCGGCACTCACAATACATTGGACGATTTTACGAGAGCTGTCGATACGTAAAATGTCTATTTTACTGTTCATTCGACATCCCGTTGTTTTAATGACGATTAAAATTACAAATTTATTATCATAACACACACGCTTTTAGATAAAGTGTTGTGTCGATGACGGTTACCGCTAAAATGGCGATCAGAAACATTTCACGAGCGATGACATCGAAATAATCGTGTCCAAACGGTTTTTACAAGGTTTTTGGGTAACATATTTCACGGTTTTATGCGGTTTTATTGGACGTGTGTTGATGTAAATGTCATTCGCGTGTTGACCGCGATTTTACTATGATGTACCGATATTGCGCAAAACGTTGTTTTGGCACGTACCTTTAAAACTGGCAATTCGAAATTTAAAAAAATAGTTAATGTCAACGCTCTTTCAATCTTTTCGAAATTATAAGTGGCCAGTAACTATCACAATTGAGACGAAATAAAAAGTATCAGAATAAACCCTTCATGGAAAATATTCGAAAAATAAAACTTAAAAAGAATAATTCTCACAATATACAAAGCGGTCCTTTAGTATTTTCTGTGGTCAAAGGCCGGTTTATCTCATAACTTGTGAAAGTTATAGTATTCGGGGCAAGTCAAAGCCGCCGACGGGCATTAAAAAAAGAGATATGGCGACCGACCAACTCATTCACCTATAGTTTCCTTAAATAAGACGCCTGATTGACTAAAAGCTGTGGTTTTTACCTTTATTGGGGGTCTCGTAGAACACATTTGAACTTTTGGTGAGATATACATGTGTTTTTTTTAATTATCGTTCATACAACACCGGTTTGAAAATTTAACTTAAATTAAAATGAGTCAGAACTTTAAGTGGAAACGTACATGCTCATACAATTTAAGGTCCATTGTTATTAGTAAGATATTTCTCAAATAAGTTTAACCTTTCAAGGAACATTAAATCATAAAAACGTCTTATTCTCCTATTTCCTAATGTCCACTGACCACAGACAAGCCATAAACAAGAGAGCACATTAAGGCACACACGACATTAATCAGTCCGCGTCAGTGTTGCCAGTGACATAATAACACGTTTTTATAGCCATCAATCAAATGGCACTAGCTTCCGTGTGAATACCTTTTACCGACTTCAAAAACGGTGGAATCTCTACGTAGATCTCCAAAACTCTAAAAGTGAGTTAAACTTCACTTACGGAGGTTTATCTTTAAAAGGAATTAATTACCAAACTCAAATGACATTAACACATAACTATCATTAAATATTAAATAAACGTGGTATGTTTAGCCGCTAATTAATAATGATTAACGATCATTTTGAATTGTTAATTTGCTTATTGTAACCAGTGTTGCTCTGTGTAATAAGGTAATTTGTTACTTGTAACACTGCGATGACATTGTCCGAAGATGTAATAAATAGGTGTGAATTAATTTATTTTATAGTTTGTATTTAAAATTAACTAAATTTAATATAGTTAATTAAGATGTAAAATTTAATATAAACGTGAGTTTATTAAATTTACCGGAAAAATTTTCGCTGGACGTTTCGTTCTATTCAAATGTGGTCGTCATAGAGTCTATAGAACCATAGATAATAACAGATTTAAGTTAACTGTCGTTACTCAAGCAAATGTATTGATTGCTAGTAGCTTAATGAAGTTTCTTCTATTAGAAGAACATTCTTATGGTTTAATATTAAAATAAATCATGTTTTTTCGTTAAGATGATTTTTCTAATAAATATATAGTCTAATGTATATATATCCAATTACGATACTAAGAATTATTAAAATTTAAGTTGAATATTATTTTAATTAAATTATACAATATTTTTTCTAGAAACATAGGCGTTTTTCGAACGTTTCTCGAATAATGATTTTGCTCAAATAGCGACGTAAGACAAATTTAGGTTAGAACACATGACATGATAAAATATGAGGCAATAAGGGCACGGTGACGCGACGACGGGGCTGTCACGCTTTGGAAATTATATATGAGCTTATTAAAATATCACAAACTTTTTGTGAAACGAAATGACATCTCGTTACACGCTTCACTTTATTTTTACTTCCGAAATACAGTTCTGTATTTTGATTTAAAATTACTTTTTATTGATCGTTCTATATTTAAATTTCCCTCTACGGCAAAAAAGTTTTCATATATTCAGTTTCAACTTGTATGATAATAATCTTTACATCTGATTTGAGTAAAAGAAAAAGATATAAAATGCCAGTAACAATTTTTCTTTTCATAGACAAACTATAGTTCTTACAATAAAATCAAAGATAGTCAAATAACCAAAACTTTGAAGAGGAGGCATTAATAAAAGCTTACTAATTAAGACCTGCAATCGAGTTATCATCGAGAAGTCCCAATTATTATTAACATATAAATTACTACGGCTTATAGCGGCGACTTCAAAGCAGCAAAGGTTCACACGAACCGGTGTTAACTAGTTAAATCCGGAATATTTGAAAAACTACAAATACAGTTAGAAGACAACTTTATTTTGGCACGTGAAAGAAATCGGATCTAGCTACCACACATTGAGCGATAAAAAGACTTTGGACTCTATTTCTAAGTAGCAAAGGTTCATTATAGTCAGTGCAATTAGTGGTGTACCACATTACGCCCCCTCTTTCAACTGCAAAAAGATCCTTGTACAATTGTATGCACGCCACATGTGGTTTATTTGACACGCGCGATCAACCTCTCGACGGATGGCGACAAAAAATCTTGTTTATGGATCCACTTAACATATTTGACGTTGTTAAACGAATATTACATAACACTTGAGTGTAAAAATATTTGTCTATGGTCCGCCTACTGTGATGGATGGGTTTTAATGTCAATACGTCGATGTCATAGTACCATATGAAACATTATTATTTAATGAATTTACAAAGTATTTATTGGTATTACTATTGCTATCCTAGATCTCCGTACTAATAGAATTAAAATATGCGTTTTTGGATAGAAAAAACTTGAAGAGGCGTCTCTCTCTCTTGAGATCAGTTTCCCTTGAAGTAGGTATATTCAACGATTTCGCAACAGTAGGCAACTCGTCAAATAAGTCAGTCAAATCTACGAAAATAGACTTAATTATCAAAGCACGGCAAAGATTATATAATCAAAAGTGGATTGATCCGACTTTTACACTATATCAGGCAGTAAACAAACCACAGACAAATTCTTACTATAATCTGTAACATTTTTTATTCGGCGAGTACCGTTCGGAAACGCAAAAAGCGTGACTGACATCTGTCGATGGTGTGAAGGACCATGTGTTAAGTAAAATAAGAGCAAAATTTAAGATGACTAACACCGTGACAATTTTTACGCTCCATCTTACAGAAATGCCGATATTACATTTTTAATCGCTAAAGTAGCCGTGGTGAATTTAAATAACGAGGCGTCATCCGTAAAATTAAACTAGACGAAAAAAGGAAAAATATTCTCTATGAAAACGTAATTAATTTTAGGTAAGGAAATTAAATGTCATCTGCCGTAGATATTAAAATAAAAAGTCAATAGTCGACCAACAAAATTTTTGGTTTAGGTCATAAACGTTTTGAAATCTATTCGCACGTTACAATTATATGTATTTATGTATATATATATTAATATTTAATAAAACTAAAGGATTTATTTAAATAAAAACCATAAGCTGACAATTTATAATACTCAATGCTTTGAAAGGATATTTGTCTCGTCATAGTTGTTTCTGAACGGATGCACGCGAAATTCAATTTTCGAACATCGGCACGCAGCTCTCCGTCATGATTGAGTATCGGCCATTTGCTGGTAACCATGGTAACCGAATGAATAAAGAGTATTGGCAGGAAGTACTGTTTTAGAATTGTTTATTGAAAATTTAAGCCTCGGCGTTGAGAGCGATAAAAGCCTATTTCAGTCCTAAAAATAATCCTAGGTGACTGTTTCTCTAGGGTAATTCAAGTGTTACCTTAGTTCGGCCATTTTGTTATACAAAATATGAATTAATTTCATGATTTAGGACGCACAAAATCTAAAGCAAACATTTTAGCTTTAATAAAATACTCCTATTATATTTAAAGGTTGCATTGTAAGAGAATTGCTCGCGTTACGATGAAATTATGTCGTTATTGTGCCGTTAAAATAAAACTATAACAAAATTCGTAATTGCTTCTTTTTATTCCAATACTACGATAAAGAAAGTGAAATTCGTTAGCATTGGCCAACGGCGTTATTCCGTTAAATTCGTTATTGTAAAATACAATTATAACGAATAATGGACATTGGAGAGTGAAGGTTTTTTTACGACAGTTTCGAATTTGTCACATAATGGAAGCATAGTCACGTAAAAAATACTTGAAAACTTAGGAAATATTGGAAACTTTTTAATATATAACTTTTTTTGACATACCTGTATCACTCTCATGGGTAGACCTGTCTCCTTCGCCAACTGTTCTCGTATGTGCCTGGTCGGTTTCGGCGTTTGCGAGAATGCTGACTTCAGAATCTCCAACTGCTTTGCTTTGATCGTGGTGCGAGGTCCCCGGCGTTTTGATCCCCCGTTCCCGTCATCGGGTGACTTGTTCTCGGCCTGCGAGTCTCGGGTCTCGGCGTCTCCATCCAATGATCCCTGGGAGGGGAAGAGAAAAAACTGAATGCGACTATGTGGTCAGCTCCCATGCACGTTATATGGGATTGTCATTGTAGGAAATGCCTTTCTATGAAGAAGAGATCGACAAGAGAAGAGATCCACTCCACCACTTCAGCGTATAAAGCAAGTTTATTTATATGTCTGTAGTTGTATTGTTTTCACATAAGGTTATATTCAGTCATTAGTTTGGATCCTGGGAATCTATGTGAGCTGTGAAATTACCGTAAATATATTTTTCTCTGGGTCTTTTTGCTATAAATATAGGTATATAATATAATTTATTAACCCGATATAATAAATATATGCTGGTATAAGTATTTTAGTATAGTGACGAGATGGTTTGTTCCAAAAAAATTAAAATTTTTCATAAATATACAATTATGAATCTCAAAACATGTCAAAAATTTAGTCAGATTGTATGAGCCAAGGGTTTCTTAATTTTATAAGCGTTGTTACGCCCCAAGAATACTATCAGCTATACGCTGTCTTCAGCATTATAACCATAGCATACCATTTCAATTCATAGCACTTATATAGAGTAAAAATAATATATCATTTGCGACATATATAATTGTTTTTTTTCTATCTAATAGGAGGCAAACGGGCAGGAGGCTCATCTGATGTTAAGTGATATGGGCCCATGGGTACTCACACTGCCAGAAAGCTTGCAAACGCGTTGCCGGCCTTTTAAGAATTAATACGCTCTTTTCTTGGAAGACTCTAAGTCGAATTGGTTCGGAAAAACTTCAGTGGGCGGCTGGTTCCACAGTGGTGTGGGGCGGCAAAAACTTGAAAATATGTAGCCACTATTAAAAGGTTGCCTTTCGCACGGTATTATTATTATTAACCAACCTGGTCTTCCGAATCCTCGTGTGGTTTTGTGTCACCATTGTGTGATAGTTCTGAATGTAAAGCCGGGTGCGTCGCATGCGCAGGACTACTCGAGTTGTTCGCTGTTCTTGATTCTTCATCTTCCTCCTCATCCGACCCTGAACCGAGCAGGGAATCTGCTGTAATGAAAAAGAAGATTACAGTAAACGAAATATAAATGACTTGCATTCATTAATCTTAGCAAAGAGTCAGTAAGAAAAGAAAATAAAAAAGAAGTTTAAAACGTGTATTCAAATTATTATAATGCGTTAAATACTTGACGATTTTCAAACATTGGTCTTCAGGTATGTAAGAGTAGTGTTGGCCTAATGGCTTCAGCGTGCGACTATCATCCCTGAGGTCAGGTTCGATCCCCGGTTCACCAATGGACCGTCTATGTGCGCTTTTAACATTCGCTCGAACGGTGAAGGAAAACATCGTGAGGAAACCGGCTTGCCTTAGACAGACACATAGTCGAAGGCGTGTGTCGGGCACAGGAGGCTGATCACCTACTTGCCTATTAGATTGACAAATGACCATGAAACAGATACAGAAATCTGAGACCCAGACCTAAAAAGCCTGTCTTGACACATTATTATAGAGGTATTATATAATTTTTCTATCATCCGTTTAGATTTTGCGGTACATTAGACGCTGAAATGTATTTTCCATATTCTAGTAGTATCTCACGGTAATTTAGGTAAATCATTTAACAAGTATAATTTTTTGGTACAATTATTAAACTGTCCCAGTCAGGTCATCTACGTAAGTCCAAATACTTGTAAAACTTCGTTTAATGGTTTAAATTGACTTATCAAAAAGCAATCGTGCTCCCTCTGCCCTCTTAACTATATAAAAATCTAATTCCAAGTCCCCTCGAGGGAGAAGAGAATTAGCCGCAAAAACAATTACGACCCTCCTATGAAATATTTTGCGAGACGCGCTCTAAGCAACATATCGGCAAACGTTTAAGATAATAATATATTTATTTTCTCGCATATAACATTTGCAACAAAACATAAGATTACAGTTGAGAAGGTATTGGGAGACTGGTTTCCAACTAGGTAAGAACCTGTGATATGGATGACCAGGTTTCCATTCCACAGCAAAGTCATATTGAGTGGTAACAAAAAGTACATAGGTATACATAAATGGGTAGGCAAACAAATTTAACGTTTTAAATAAAAACCAAACAAAACAGTCAACTAGTTAGTAGAAATAAAGTTGTATGGGTGTATGTGAGGGTTTGTGTGTGTGTGTGTGTGATAGAGAAAGATTATTTGTTTATTAACGAATAGATAAGAGTAGCAGAGCAGTGGCTTAGTGGACAGCGTCATCCCTGAGACTGGCGTTCGAATCACGGCCGTGTACAATTTTTGTGCGCTATTAACATTTGTTCGTAAGGAAAACAGTTAGACCCAAAATTCGACATGTGACACAGAAGCCTGATCGCCTACTGTGTAATGTATGAATGGTTTTTGAAGTTATACTTCTCTTGGCGCGTTAGGGAAAATGATGAGAGTAAATTTTTACGATGCGCGCGCACACCGTCTCAAAAATCCGACACCCTGAAGTTAGCATAGTAAACATTTTAAAATAAAAAATTCAATTTCTTTAATTATGATAAAAAAAATTGTGATATTTAAATAAACTTTATTTAACAAGATAATGCGTTATAACGAATAGTTTTAAATAACATAAGATTTTCCGTAAAATATTCCTCTTAAAAACGCTTTGACATTATGAGTAGATTATTTTCGAATTGTTCCCAAACACTTGAAAATAAAACGACCATAGACAAGTTCCCCTTGTTTTATATGTTTGGTCAACACTCGACAACTGCTCCACAGTTGAGTGCTTTGAAGAGATAATGTTGGTAAACGCTCGCAAATATTTACATTTCCTTTGAAAGACCCGATAAGTTTGAACTTCTGTATGGCCCTACAGCGATCAGTGTTTAGATAATTGTTTTTTGTTTTGTCTATGGTAGCAATGCCTGTTACTTATATATTTCGTAATCCTAACATAACTTATACTAAATATCAAGCCAAAGATGGAGTACATAATAACAAAAGGGTACAAATATTTACGAAAGGAAAAAATCTAAAAAATATATTAAATACATTTAACTAAGTGATACCTAATACTGTGTGGTTTCATAGTGTCCAATCTACTAGAAATCCTTCTAGAAATGATGAAGATATATATTGGAAATAAATAAACCGGAAAAGTAAAAATAAAACATATTTTTTACTTCTTCATACTAAATAATAACAGAAATAAAATACCACATTTACAATGGCAGCATAACCAGAGACAAAACTAAAATTCCAAAGAATTCTCAAATTTCTTCAACGTTGTATTATGATAAAATTTAGACTAGAAGAATTTCTTAACGTAACAGTTTTCCATTTAATATATTCCAAAATAATAATGTCAATGCCATCATTCTCACCACAAGTAATAATGCAGAAATATTGAAGTATTTATAATGTATATACCTGAAGTATCAAACACATCAAAGAAAGTTCGGTAGATTCCCCAACAATGACTTGCAGGGGAAAGTGCAAGTCAGGGGTAAAAAAGATTAATAGGAGTCAAGTCCCTTGGCCAACTCATTGGCTCTATTAAGTGGAACTTTGGCGGTAAATTAGTTTGTAGAAATATTTCAGTTTAAGCTTAGCTTTTTGGACCATTTCTCTTTATGACAACAAAGCATACGAAAGGCACTGAATCACTTGAAACTAAACTCACTAAACGAAATGTTCCAACCGCCGTTTATAAGATTTCCATACTACAATACCTTCCCTATTTGAAAATTTAATTTGAATTTTCCTGTGCCTTATTTATATATTTACAAAAGCTTGCAAACGCTCGGCATTCTGATGCATTGTTATTTAAGAAAAACATTCACACATTCACAAGATATAGCTCTGGTTCGTTTATCAGAATGTTTAATTTGGATATCGGTGAGTTTTAGCCCAAAAGTTTTCTTCTGAAAGGAAGGACAAATGCCACGAAATTTAATTTTAGTTAAAAGGTTGACTATTATTAATTTATATATAGGTACACTTGCCAGATTATTAAAAAAACTATATTTTTATTTGCTGTATTTCATATAGGTATTAATAGAGTTAAAAGTTAAAATTCAAAACGTGTTTGACATATGACAGTTACCTATAGCCTTATCTTTAAATATTACCTTAGACATTTCTTCAGTGTTCTTTTCTACGTAAAACTTGTCGACTGAGCTAACATAAAATGTATTTAATTAATTATTTATTTATCTGAGCATAACTTTTTTTTTTCAAACAGAGGGAAGGTAAGTGATACCGCCCATGGACACTCTCAATACCAGAGGTCTCTTAGATTAGAACTAAAATTATAGATCACAAAAGTGTATTCCCTTAATAGAGACTGTAAGTAGTGTTATTGGACACTTTCTTATGTTAAATATCCTTTTTAGTATACTTTTATATTATTAGTCTTAAGTTAAGCTAGATAATGTTATTTTTTTTTATATAATAGGAGGGCAAACGAGCTTGCGGGACAAGTGACAACCAAAAAGGCCAGTCTTCGCAGCCCATAGACACCCATTTTAGTGGGTGCGTTGCCAGCTTTTAAGGGAGGAGTACACTCGATTAAATTGTCTCTTTGTGCAGACAATTTATAGAAAAAATATTTTAAGTTTAAAACTAAAAACTTAAAATAATATTATTCGATCTACAACATTGAACGATTAGTAACAATTAGAAATTCAATCAAGATCACGAATAGTTTTCCTAAAATTGTAATGACCACTATCTGGAAATCTATAACAACCTATTAGCCGAGTGTAAGCTATAAAAATCACAGATTATTTCCTATTACAGGCATATTAAAGTTTGTTATAGCGTGTTTATGGGACCGACGTTAATTCAAGACCACCATCTTAAATGTAAAATAAGAAAGCACGATAAAGATCTAAGAATATAAAAGATACGGGATTTCTTTGTGGTGCCGGTAGCGGCATATACCTATATACACCGCCCATATATGGGACGCGGTGCACGCACCCTGCCGCATCCGTCGCTACACGTACAGGGGCCCTATACGCACACTTGCATCTGCGCTATCTGATTGGTCGACGCCGGAGCCGCGCCACGCCCAGTTTTATCGACGTTGCGCCGCGAACGTGCGTGCGAAACGCCGCTATATGTACGTAAAATCGTCTATAGCTGAGGGCCCGTTTTTAAAATGTCATTTCCATCCGACGTCTGCGGGAAAGCTCTTTGTTGTTTTTCAATGGGACTTTTTATTGAAATCAAATTTCAACGCTTCGAATTTTTCAATTTGCGTTTTCGTTCAGCAACAAAATACTAGCACCCATACAATTGTCTAACGAAATTGAAATATACTTTTAAGCTTATATTTAAGGTATTTTGTCTTATCCGAATTGTTTTTCCTTTAAATAGAAGAGAAGTGTTTAGTTTTGATAAATGGGACAGGTTTATAAATTACAATTTAAGATTTAATAGAAAAATAATGGTTACTAACGGCACGGACTTTAACTTTCATCAAGACGTATTCTATACCTATACGGCCCGTTCTCTTGCCTCGCTTCTTTTCCATAGAAAAATCTATCATTCATATTAGATTTTATCTATTCGTGCTTAAAACTCTAAATTTATATTCCTAGTATACATATGTATCATCTAAAAAGGAAGGAATCTTTCGTCCACATCCTCCCGGCAGCACAATGGAGCCATGAGTTGATTTTTCTGACTTGCAGCCTTCAAGGCCTATGCATTCTTCATTTGTTTGTTGGTTTATGCTACTATAAAGTGAAAATTGTTTTTTATTTGGCTATTACCCTCCGTATTTATTGTTTAGAGAAGAATATCTACAATTGTATAAACATTTTAAAATAAAAATACAGTTTTATGATGATGTTTCTGTTAGATATATTATCAATTGTAAGATATAGGCTCCAGCGTTAATATAGCATTATAATTGAACCATTTCTAATATCTCAGTTGCAATAATAGAAACTTTAAGTTTAAGTTAACCAAACAGATAGGTTAAGATCGTTACGAGGTCGTATCATTCGCCGCGGCAGATAAAAAAATAATTTAACACCAATTTTTCACAGCCATTTGAT